TTTTTTTTTTTTTTGTATTTACCTTTTTCTGTTGCAGTTGGGACTTCAAAGACTTAAGGATTTCCCTCGACCATTCTGGCTGGCACTTTTTGTCGAGGGTACCCGATTCACTCAGGCAAAACTTTTAGCTGCTCAAGAATATGCATCCTCAGCTGGGTTACCTGTTCCGGAAAATGTTTTGATTCCACGAACGAAGGTTCTATCTTGACCTAATTATAGTTTTTAAAACATATTAACACCGAGATCTGAAACTTCTTTTCAAGGAGAAAAAAACAAAAAAAAAAAAAAAGGAAGATTTAAAATGAAAGTTGGTAATTTAACCTTTTGGTCCCAAATGCTACTTTATTTTGCCATCCGTACTAGAAAACTTACAATTTGTGTATATTCTTTTACAATTTGTTTGTTCGTCGAATTCCTTTAATTTGTTCATCGAATATGTTCGAGACAGTTTCTCTTTAGCCATGGCGTCGCCTAGAGGCGAGGCGACCGAGGCGAGGGTCACATCGCCTCGCCCCTGCCTGAGGCGACCCTGTTCGCGAGGCGCTCGCTTCAGGATGCCTCGGCTCGCCTTTTCGTATGGCGAGAGGCGCCTGTGTGGCGCGCCTCGTCGCCTTTCAGGGGAATTAAAGGCACAGACCGCCCCTTATTTGTTTAAAAAAATAATAATAATAAATGCGTGTTAACACTTTCTGGAAAAGAGAATAAAAAAAAAACTCACATCGGGCTCTTTTTCCTTCATCTCCCAGACCCACGAAGCTAGGGTTTTCCCGGACTGAAGACATAAGCAAACAAATCTTCACCTTAAAAAACCTTCAATTACTTTCTTAAGTGGTGTTTGTGTTTCAATTACTTGCCTTTATGGGAGATTTGATGTTATTTTTATCATTTGTACACAACTATATAATTGCACAATCTATAATATTGTTTTTCTAAATTTTGGTGATATGTGTAGCCGAGGCCTCGCCATGGCGAATCGCCTCGCCTCGTGGCGAGGCCATGGGCCAATCGCCTCGCCTCGCCATTCGCCATTTAAAACTATGCGCCGTGTTTCAGGGTTTTGTTACAGCTGTAAGTCATATGCGCTCGTTTGTTCCTGCCATTTATGATGTGACCGTTGCTATCCCAAAAACATCTCCACCACCAACCATGCTAAGACTCTTCAAAGGACAATCTTCTGTGGTAAGTTCGGCAAAATCTTTCCCTTTTTTCATTTATATTCTCGATATTCTTTTTCCATTTTCTGAAATTTTGTGATGTTCACACATGATATTTAGGTTCATGTTCACCTCAAGAGACACTTGATGAAGGACTTGCCAGAAACGGACGATGCAGTTGCTCAATGGTGTAGAGATGTATTTGTGGCCAAGGTGCATTTTCTTTAATACATTTCCCTAAATGTCACACTTTATTGGACTAAGGAAATATATTTCATACACATGAAGCTCATTAATAATCAGTCACTCGGTTTTACTTCCCTCAACAGGACAAGCTATTGGACAAGCATATAGCTGAGGATTCTTTCGGTGAACAACTGCAAAACACTGGACGCCCAGTGAAATCCCTTTTGGTAATTAGTAATTACCTACTTGGATCATTTCCCTTCAGTTAGATAATAGAAATATTATATGAGGTTTAGCCACCTTACAAAAAATCCGCGTTAGGTTTCAAAAATCACAAATTTCCCCATATAAAATTTGTAATTTATAATAGAAACAAATATTACGGATGCATTAGCAACTTTGAAATATCATTTTTCATTCCGTTTTTAGGTAATTGCTTTTGTGATTAACAGGTTGTCATTTCCTGGTCGGTTTTGCTAATCCTGGGTGCCCTCCGAGTTTTCCAGTGGTCCTCAGTGTTCTCTTCATGGAAAGGCATCTCGTTTTCGGTCATAGCTTTAGCAGTCATCACGTTTCTTATGCAAATCCTGATCCAATTCTCTCAGTCCGAACGATCAAATCCTGCCAAGGTGGCGCCAGCTAAGCCCAAGAGTGGGGTCGAAACACAAGATAAACAGCAGTAAAACCCGTTTGGCCTAGTCTCACGAATTCGAGTCCCCCCTTTCTGCTCAGGCCATATATACATTTATTGTTCATGTGGTTATTCGGTTTGGTTATCTCTGTAGACTGTAATATTGTAACTGAATGCAATTTGTGCTCGATTTTTGCATGGGCAGCGTGCAATGTGCTTATTAATCTATTATTAGCTGTGTTGATAACTTGTGGGGGTTTTACTTCAGGTTTAGCTTGAATACTGTGTTATGGATTCTTGTTACATTGGGAATTTGTAGGAACAAAGCTACTGAAATTTTGTACTGCATATGAAGAAGTGGCCTTTATCTTTGTTTTCATTTCCTTTCTACCTTGTTTCAGTTGAAATATTGAAAAACATGTTTAATTTTCTGTTCTGTGTGGCTTTGCTTTCATTATTTAGACAAAAATGTACGGCTTGAGAACACATTTTCTAGCATAAGAATGAAACTGAGACTCAGAGATCAAATCAGTCATTGGCATACAATTTTCATCAAGAGAGCAGGTTTTCGACAAGAGATGAATGAAACGAACCCTAACTATAGATGCGCATTTTATAGTATAAGAACAAATCGAGCAACTCGGGGATCAAATCAGTCTTGGCATACAACTTTCATCAAGAGAGCAGATTTTTTACAAGAGATGAATGAAACGACCCCTAACGATAGACACACAGTCATATCGTCCTCTGAAAGCCAAGCAAAATAAATAAAATAAAACACGAAATATTTTAATGTACAAACACCATATGTACAGGAGGAAAGCAAAACCTCACAATAGTCTAATATTTTATCCACTGGAAACATTTGCAGAATATTTTGATGTAAAACGGAACTACGATTGACAAGGATTATCATTGTATATTCAGCATGAAGGTTCAGTGCCATCATGAAGAGCACAGGCTACAGTTGCTTTCTGATGTCCTTTGTACACTTTTATTTCCTCACCATTTGCCATCGACCATAATCTTGCAGTCGAGTCAGAAGAAGCTGCATTTTGGAAATTTCATAAGGGTTCAACCGCGCATGACCATTAAAATGAATAAAAAATTGATTTCAAGTTGAAATGAATTAAATTTGAGAAAATGTAGAAATAGGTAGCTTAATGCAATCTGGGACTACCTCAGGGACCGGAAATATTCTGAAATGTGATTAACTACAAAAGTCTACAACTTGATATTTCATTCGTTACAGCATTAATTGTTTTTGTTTTTTTTCCTTTGTACTTCATTTTTTTCCTTTCCTGATAAAGGCTGCAATATAATTTCCGAAAGATTCTTTCGCTAAATATCACGTATAAAATACCTGTGATTAAAAAAGCGCCATCGACGGAAAAAACACAGTCCCACACCCAGCGCTGATGCCCTGAAAAATACGTCAATGAGATCGATTATACCAGACCAACAAAATTTTATAAATGATTCGGAGATTAGCAAATATATAAATTGTAACTTGCTTATTATACGAGTCAGAGTACATACCCACTAAAGTTTTCTCTAAAGTGAAACCATCCACATTCCATATTTTGACAGTATGGTCCGCCGATGCAGTTGCAAGATACCTGGAAATCATTAAAACTATAAATTTAATTGCAGATTTCTAGGCTGGTGTTTAGCCTAATTACAAACGTAAAGCTAGCTGATAAGCTAGCAGCTTATAGCTTATAAGTGATTTTCGAGTTTATAAATTATAGCTTATGACTTAAAGCAGAAAAGCTAGCTTATATGATAAAAGTGTTCGGTAAAATTAGTTGATAAGCTAGCTGAAATAAAATTTAAACAAGCTTATTTGAAAAGCTACCCAAAGCTTATAAGATAAGCTCAAGCTCTTTGGAAAAGCTCGTCCTACCAAACCAAGCTTATTTGAATACAGGGAGATTATAAGCTAACCAAATAAGCTATAAGTGAATGCAAAGCTATTTTGCAAATATAGCCTTAGGCTAAAGTGAATCCAAACCTATTTTTTCCTATTTTGCTAATCCCGCAATAAGATTGAATGCAAACCTCAAGTGAATATATGTAACTTAGGAAATTGCTTGTTTTTCTCCCCTCATAAATTAGGCTAAATCTATTAAGTATTTCCCAATATATTATGTCTGATACAAGAAAAGCACGAAAAAAAAAAGAGTTGTAGGCCAGATGGCAGTAACCGATCCTAACCGGTTAGGTTCACAAAGCTCTGGGGAGAGAAGACATTTAAGGATGTAGCCATTATGAGCCTCAAGCCTATGAAGTGGCTCGAAATTGGTCATAGTCTGCAAACAACCATAAACAAACTTGTGAACACAAATGTATAAACAAAATCGAACGTAAATCACACCAAAACACAAAAGCTTATGCATATAACTGACTTGGGTCCCACGCAACAAACGCCACACATAGCATATCCCATGATTATTTGCCGCAACAACTAAGCTCCCGTCCCACATCACAGTCAACGAGCGCACAGCTGTGTCCACCTCTGGGACCTGTAATTATGCATCAGTTTTAGTTACATACATAATCAAAAGAAAATGTTCATTTGTGCACAAAAATAATGTTACACTTTCAGTTAGAACACAAAGCATTCAACAATAAATGTATAGTTTATGTAAATAAAAAGAGGCCCCACAACAACAGATCGTATAACATACCAGCTCACAACTACAAGAATTTGCTGTCAAATCCCAGACACGTATGTTACCGTTTTGGTCCCCGGATATCAGTTCGGTCTGCAATTTCAGAGAAAATGAAAGGACTAGCTTAAGGGCATTTAATTCCTTCCAGAAAAAGAAAAATGACATTATGGGTTAGATAATAGAAGGTGCATTTAATTCAACATTCCAACAAAGTATGATCAAGGAAGGTAATGCTAATGAAAGTCCCAAAAAAAGAGAATTGTTAACACCAGATTTCCACTTAATGGCACCTTAACTGTACGATTATCACTAAATATACTACTTTAGAAGAGAATGTGGGCTTATTCAACCTGGTTTGGATGCAAAACAACAGTGTTAACTGCTGCTCGACTTTCATATTCCCTCTGGCAACCTGGTGCCCTATACAATTGAGAACACAAGTAGATATTATTATATTAACACCTAATGCCAGCTCACACATACACACACATAAAGGTAAATATTATCGGTGTGCTAGAACTTTCTGTACCTCAGATCCCAAATCTTTACAGTGCCATCTTCGGAACCCGAATACATCCAATTCCCATCACACTGAAATCCAACAGCCATCACATTATTGGTATGTGAATCATAGCTCATCACCTGTCACAAGAGAAAAGATTTTGCTGGTTAGAAGTTAAGCTAAACAAGGATGAAGTTTTTCCTTGCTAACTTAACAAGGACCAAAAAANNAAAAAAAAAAAAAAAAACGAAAAGGACTGAACGGCGGGTGCATACAGGCTGGGGGCTGTTTGAATTGACATCAAAAAGCCGAATGTGTGGATTTCCAGCTGCAGCTAGGTAGCGCTTATCTGGGGTAATTTCGAGTCGGTTTACTTGCTGTCCGAAGAGAAAGAACAAATCACATTCCCAAGATAACAATTAGAAAACTTTTACATCCATTGTATATGGCGCATAATACTTCACATACGTGTGGGTTAACAAGTAATCCATGGACATTATGCATACAAAAATCAGTTCATTTGAAGACAAAACTCATGCTAAGATGATCGGATTCATAAAAGATATAAACTTTCAGCTTATATAACCAGAATTCCAAAACCATGATAGTGAGAGCTATACTCACATTCCAGATTTTTTCAATCACAAATGCACAAACACATATAAATCGTAAAAAAAGCCCAGGCTTTCGATGCATACAGATTCAGGGTATTGAATAGTTCGATAGCAGCGCCCGCTCTTAGCTTCCCAGAACCGAATAGTGTGATCATAGCTTGCAGTTGCTAACACCACGGATGGTTGTTGAGTCATTCTTAATTTGCTTCTATTTATTCACCTAAAGAAGAAATGAAATGCGTCGTGAAACTGTATGGCGTGCATAAAAACACAAATCATCAGTCGAAAATCAAGAACATAACCGCACAAAAAAAAAATAAAAATAAAAAAAAATTAGCATATTAATGTATGGAACGCAAAATCCTTTTCATTTCCTAATTCTTTTTTTTCCGCACAAAAAAAAAAAGAAAAAAAAAATCCTGAAAATCTTACACAAGGGACTAAAAACTGATATTAGATTGAAGATCGATCAAACAGAAATCAAGTGTTTCAAAATCTACGACTCTATACTCGAAAAACAGGATTTTTTTTTTTAAAAAAAAAATGGGTTTCGAGATTTCATATGTACTTTACCTGAAGATCTCAAGCAATAACCATCGGAGTTCTTTGAAGGGCTCGTAGGGTTTTACCGAAAAGGAAAATGGGCTCTTGCATTCCCTTTCTGCCGCTTTTCTGCTGGCGTCTCCAAATTTGTACTGCTTTCGCTGGCAGAAGAGACTGTGAACTCCCCTAGTTCCCTTTAATTCTGATTTCCGGTTTTGCTATGGAACCATCAGATGGTTCGGCTTATGGAGTTATGCATAGTTTTTTACAAATGGTATATTGGTGTGGATGGCTCCTTAAGGGAGTCATCCGATGACTCCATAGACTTTCTGTTCCCCTTTACAATAGATAATATACTAATCCCACCATATATGTTGACTCCGAGAACTGAAAACAAGTCCAATCGACGAGCTCGACTAGGCTCATTTATCGATATTAGGGAGTCGAATAATGAGTCGGATTGAGTTAAGAGATCAAAAACTTATGTACAAACCTATATTGTCTACTCAATAATGCTTCAAACGAACTCGTATAAAAGCTAACTTGAGTCCAACCAATTGTTGATACGTGGTTTGTATCAATGGTTAATCAAGAATTAACTGAGTAATTGGGTAGATAACCGTGAAATAAGAGAGGTTTAACGATGAAAATAGAATTTGGGGTGTGAATCGAGGTCGTATACTGGATGTTTTCAGGTCGAACCTTTAGGCGGTGTTTGCTTGAATTTATTGCGAATAATTGTTCTTTGTACCCTGTTTTTGTGTTTTGATGATCTCTTCTTTGCATGTTTGTCATAAATAAAACCTAATACTATTTATAGCTAAACATACTTGGGCACCGCTCTTCTATTGTTCATCGAGCCATGTTGTACAATAAACCGGAATGACGAACATTTAATGATGCGTAGACGTAGTTGACGCTAATTTGCTAAATGATGATTGTCAACCATTTAATGTTGATTAACATGCCCTTAACGCATATATGTCATCCTAAGATTTACGGACTGTAGGCTTGCAGGGTTGGTGAGCATATCCCATCGACCATCATTAGGTTGCAAGTGACTTTATTTTATTATTTTCGGATATTAAGTGTGTCTTGTGGTCCTGTCCTCCGAGATCTTCGAGGTCGCACTTTCGTCGTGTCTTGAGTTAGGTTTCCCCTTTTTTGCCCTGTGCTCGGGTCTTCTTCATGGTTATGAACTTGGGCTTTACTCCTACTTGTTGTCCTTGTCTGTCAATCTTTGGGACTTTAAGCCACCTATCGTTGACTGATGAAGCCGAGTTGGGCGTCTGATCCGGCAAGGCCGGTTTGTGAGCCCTGCTATCCTTGATAACTTAATCGCTAACTCGTTTTACTGCGGCCTGCGGGGCTTTGTGCCCTTGACCATGCTTACCAAGCCAACACCAACAAAATAATTAAATCAAAACAAGATGCTTTAAATATAGATTGATATTGGGTAGCTCCTGTTACTTTTGGATTTTTGCCAACAAAAACCTTTATTTATTATTTAAAAATATTATCTTTTTAAGTTAAAACTTGTCATATTCCACATTCATGAATTTCAAAGAATGTTGACGATAAGTTATGGAATTGTAGCTATATATACAAAGCATCACTCTGCTTCAACACGATTTGAATATTTTTCAATGTTAATTAATTCAAAGATCATCTCAAATGATCTGTTGATTGCCCAATTTTTATGTCTTGTGCCCAATTTTGTATGTTTTAAACAACTTTCTTGTCATGTTAGTATGTTACATACACTGTACTTCAAATCTTTCATGTTTTGTTCCCAGTTTCATAGTTAGGACTCGTAGAATAAATCATCTTTTTGAGCTTGAAAAAAAGAGATTTATCACTAAATTGTAAAGGAAATAAACTAATGTAAATAAGATTTAGTTTCAACAACAAACAAATCATACACAAGTAAAAAAAATCAATACTGATAATTTTTATTGTCTCACAAATGTAAAACAATACAAAAGAATTAACTAAAATAAACCCCAAATCAAAACAATCCCTCTAACCAAACATGAATAATAACATAACCCAAAAAAAGTATAAAAAATCCACACCAAAATGCCAAATACAGCAACAATAAGATAAAGCAAAATAAACTCAGCACTCAAAAAAATTAATCAATGCCTCAACAGTACGATAAAGGAGAATAAAAGCCCCGCCCC